ATGTAACTTACTCGCCGAAATAGAAGACCCTTCCCGAATAAAGTCATTTTTACTAAATATATGTACGTCGATTTCCATAGAATGAATATTGGTTTACCAGCAGGATGTCGAAAAATTAAATTGCAAGCATGAAGAGATATCTAGGTCGAAGTGTAAAAACTGTAAAATATATGTCATCCAAAAGTTGATCCATACCAATGTTCTTATTAGTAGTCTAAAGTAAATGACCATACGTTTAAACGTTCAAAAACACAAAACAAAAATTGAGGCAATACTTAGTCAAAAACAATGACCAGCTATGTTCTAAAAACCAATATTGCATAAGTTGTATACACTCGTCCATTCTTGCTTATAATGCTTCTGTAGCGACGGGTTTTGGTTCGATGGTCAGCAGAAGATTGTAATAAAAAAGACCTTTTCAACTGGTCAAAATAGTTTTCTGGGTGCCAATTTTAGCGAGGGACGGTCGGTGCACTTAATAAATGTACTGCGAGGGAAATGGGCCGATTTCCCTCGATTAATGAGTCCTGATCATGGATGTCGACAGCGTTGAAAAACAGTAGAACCAACAACAACTACATCATTGTCTTTTGGACGAAGAATGCTGCTGCTGATTGTAGCAGACGACCGTATTACCAACGAAATATGATACAGCATGTAAGAAAAAAAAAACTTTAACGACAAATTTTAAATGCAGAAATCCTAACAGGACAACCGGTCGCTGCGTCAACGCAAACGTCTCTGGAAGCTAGAACGCATCAGTCGTGGTCAAGCGCGTATCCATTCTGGACAAGAGCGGGAGAACGGGCTCGGGAGGAGGAGGTGTGGTAATCTCGGCGTCCGGGATGGAAGAAATCTGGAGTATGTGGTCGATGGGACGGACGGATGCTTCCTCTCCCCCGAGGCGTAATGAAGGCCACCGGCCGTTCGCCCAAATCTATCGTAAGCAGGGCAGATGGGCCGGGTTCAGTGAAGGTGGTGGCGAGGCGGACTCGCAGTGTCTGTGCGTCTGCAACGCCCAAGAGGGATACCCCGGACCAGGTCCAGTCGAAGCAGGGGAGATTGGGCTGTACAGGCCGACCCTGGTAATAGCCCAACAGAAACTCCAATTGAGAGACATGATTTATTCGTACGTCATCTAACGGGACTGCGACAACTCGACGGGGCTCGTCGGCGTAGATACACAACGCTACACTACACACGAAACCGGAGCCAGGCTCCAAAATGATTCCAATGTCATCAACCAGCGCCAACGACGATGCGGACGAGTGCGTGAGGACCTGTCCGTACAGATACACGCCGGCCGACCGACGCACGAACTTGGTGTCGTCCCGTGGGGCAGCGACGAAATATTCCTTCAGGCGGACGAAGCGGAACACCGAAAGCAGTGGGCGCTGCGTCAGCTCGGCGGAGAGGTCCTCGTTGGGCCGGATCAAACGCCAGTGCGGGACCCAGAACAGGTCACCAACATGCTGGAGGGGAGGTCCTCACGGCTCTGACTGTGGCGCAGGATGGTCATCGTGACCCGCCAGGCGGGTCTCCGGACGCCGTCGTCGGCGACGAACGGCCCGGTGTCCGTTGGCTCCAGCATCTTGGACTCACGGCTCAGGGTCGCGTAAACGGGTCCGTCTCAGTCACCGCTCAGTTCGTCAGGGGCCTCCAGCCGCACCGTGCGGCCGCCGAGAGCGGGGTCCCTGGAGACGCGCAGGGGAGGGCTCCGAGAGGGAGGGGAGGGGCGGACGGCGATCGCGGACATTTTCCTATGCAGCCTGGCTGCGTCTTCGTGAGTTCTTGTCCTGGGCTCTGAGCTCTGGCAGGCTGAACTGCGAATGGCTGGGATTCTTTATTCTGTCGCGGTTCGGAAACTCACGGTTCAACTCGGTCCCCTCGTACTTAACCGACCACTAGTTTCTTTTCCCGCTAGTATTCGCACGAATTTGTGATGCAAAGGTGCTGACAAACCCAACATGTTTAACAGGACAAACCCATCTCAATATGTAGGCCGCGAGGTAGGAGAGCAGCTGAAGCACATTCTGTAGAATGTAGTACAATATTGAATTGCCTTCCAAGACACCAATAATAGCGCCAAAACAACCACGAGCAATATTAACATTTGCCGCAATTACTGCAATATCCTACTTAAATACACGAAAACTTACATTACTAACGTTTAAACTGAACGATTACGTAAACGCCAGTAACCAGCGTGTAGTGGCGGAAAGGCACTTCGTGACGTCAGCAAACGCATCGCACACGACTATCAAGGTTTCGTACGCGATAAGCAGCTAGCGGACGACAGCAGGAAGTACGGGACAAGGATGAGATCACTTGACCTCACTATATTGCATACATTAGGAAGCACGAGATAAGCTAAAACAACTGTGGCAGACCCGACTGGATACCGGATTCCAGTTATCGCCCGGCTCGCCTGAACTTCCCCACTCGCCAGGCGGGTACCTGGTAGCCCGTCGTCGAGCTCAGGCGTCCCGGACGCAGCGGTCGCCCGTCTCGCGCCGCTCTTCCTCTCACCATCGGTAACGCTCACGCTCACGCACATACTCTAATCGCGGCCATCGCAGTCCGTCGCCTGTGCGTCAACGCCGCCTCTCACGCTCCGTCCAGCGACTCCGTTCCCGTTCTCGCTCGGGCCCGCGCCATCGCCCCCGTTCTCGTTCAGGTTCACTCCCGCTCTCGTTCTGCCTCACGGGCACGTCATCGCCACTCCCATTCCCGTCGCTGCGTCACCTCCCGGAGACACCGCTCTCGTTCTGTTTCCCGTGGTCATTCGCCGCAGGGGCATCGTGTCACTGGTGCTGCCGCCTGCCGGCCTACGGACAACGAGGCCCGTGTCCTCGACACGGCCCGGGTGGGCCCTCGCCCAGCATGGGACGCTGCAGGTAATGATGAGTTCTCTCGATTTTCGCGCATGTCTCCCCAAAGCGTTTTTTTACGCTCTCATTACCATCTCTGAGCTGGGTATAGCCGGTATCCTCGATATGTTTCGGGTTCAGCCCCTTCCGACTACCGGCCGAACAAGACATTGCGGCCATGGCTTTTTCGCCTACATCTTTCATCTTACCCCCAATTGAACTTGCTGTGTGATATCGCGGAGCGCGACCTGGTACCCCGTTGGGTTAGCCCCGCTACTCGTCAAGGGGTCCGACCCGTACCCGATAACTACTTGGGCACCGTCTCGGGAGCTCCAGTTGTGATTGGCAAGCTGCTTATCGACTATTAGAGCGCTGTCTAAATAGAAAAGTGATCTATTTTGCGGCTACCTCGTTTTTTTCTGTAGCTGAAAAAAATGAGGCAGAAGAAATCGTTGGTATGTCCGAGTCCCGCAGTTGCTTTCTAGACAACCGCTTTCCACGGCGTTCATCAAACGGAACCATAAGAAATGGCCAAATCTCGAATCCAGCGTCAGCCAGCCTGGAGGGCACAGATATCTCGCGCGAGGTCGAAGT